GCTATGACACGACGGAAACAACGTAAAAAGAGGAGACTACAGAAAAGAGGGACTCTTACAGTTCAAGAAGCCCAAGAACTAGATAATCAGACACGTCGTGGTGCTCAGGAACTGCAGGAAGATAGTCAAGATGGTGGTTTAGTAGAGGGTACTCAACCAACTCGTCGACGCTGTAGAAAATGTAAGGGGATAGGCCATAACATGAGAACATGCTCAAAAGGTCAAGATGACTCTGTAGAATAACCCTATAAACTTGGAAATTTTATTTCTCTTCATGTTGTTGAGTTATACGTGTTCTGACCTAGTTGGGTCGCATGATGCGCACCGCTCGCTTGTCCGTGCCGCTCGCTTATCAAGTACGTTAATATATATAATTATATAGATAGACAATAGATTAGAAGAACAAACTCTATATACAAGGTCTTGCTTTAAATTTTAGCACTACATCTAATAAGTCTACCGTCGACGCGCTAGTTCCCTAAACAGTCTAGCGTTTTCAGGGGCTCCCCATAGTGTTCACTACAAGAGATGCTCAGCTTACACTCATAAACAATCACCGTCCCTACGTTACCGTAAAGGATCGCTTCTCGAAAAATCGCCAAAAGTACCGGTTAATCTTCCCTTATCCTGCAATAAAGAAAAAGAGAGATGGCGGATACGCGGCGAGGGGTAGGTGTACATGTGCCGATTACGCAAAGGAAGCGGGATCTAGTGTATTTGGTGTTTTTTGCGGTGCATTTGCCTGTCATGTTGGGTGAGTCCAGATGGATCTTTACTCCTGGCTACTGCCCAAATCACAAGCTCGCATACACTGGATAATCTCCTTGCTACGAAAGGTCGCTTGGCTGGTTTCTTTTCCAACTAGCTGCTCAAGTTGACAAATTCACATGATATATCCTTGATATATCTTATATATATCCTTACCTAACCCCCCTCCTTGGGCTTCATCATCATTTTCTGGATTCAATTGAAACTAGATTCCGTTCCCCTTTGATTTCAGCTCAATGAAAGCACTTCTTGGCCTCCTTCTACGCGTATCCTATTTCCTTTGTGGTGGGTTTCGGCTGCTAACACGATTCTGTGTAGCTTTTGATCTCACGGCGCTGTATCCCGAAGCTATCAGGTTCCAATGGATGACGGACGTGCGGACGTGGTATATTGCTACGTACGGAGATCGGTTCTTCTACAGCCCGCCGTAGGTACCCTATTTCCATCATGCCCTCCCATCCCCGCCTTTCAAGCCTCAAGCCTCAAGATTAGGTTCTTCAAGATCAGTTTCAGATGTCTTGCACAAATCTGACTGACAACATCTCCAGTGCCTGGTTCCCCCTCTACACACTTCTCGAAGCCTTCTACCACCTCCCCCTGACCCTCTGGGCCATCCCGGCCCTCCTCCGCAACGACCCGTGTATCCCCCTCGCGCTCCTCGTCTTCGGCCTGGAGACTTTGCTCACTACGATCACGTGCCTGGCCGAGATGCTGTCGTGGGCCGAATTGACTGCGGAGCAAAAGGGGTTGCAGGGGTTGGGCGGCATGTATGGCGGGTATGCGATTTTTGGAGCGTGGATGGTGTGGGACTGTTATTGGAGGGTGAATGGGATTTTGGTGAGGAAGGGGAAAGAGGGGAAGAAGGAGTAGGGGATGTTTTAGTTGGCCGTAGGTGGATTGATACACGGCGGGTGTAGGGGACGGGATCCAGCAGCTGGGAGGATGATGTATGCTCCACTAATGCTATAAGTAAGACTTGGTATATACCTTTATGCGGTCGGTCTCTGAAGAATTAATCCCAATCGTTGATTTACTGTGGACATCCGAGTCACGTGGAGAGTCCCCCTGCCAGATCCGTTGGTGCCGTTCTGATATCCGATGGCGTCATAATCGTCCACACCCTTTGAGCTCTCACCCTTCAGAGCTCTCACCCTTTTCACCTCCACAGTAGACTTAACCATGGAAGCCGCACTCAAACACTTCTTCTCCTCCCCCCGCTTCGCCGTCGCGGGCGCGAGCTCCGACCCCACGAAATACGGACACAAAGGCACGTCTTATCCCTCCCGACCCGCGACGTGAACGCATGCTGAGACCAACGCGATGTAGTCTTCGCCTGGTACCTCGACCACTCTCTTCCCGTCACGGCTATCAACCCGCGCGCCCCGACCATCTCCGTCCTCTCCCAGACCCACGAGACCGTCCCCTCACCGAGTAAACTTCCCGGCGACGCATCCTCCTATTCGCTCTCCGTGATTACACCACCCACGGTCACGAAGCAATTACTCAAGGAGGCGAAGGAGGCGGGGATCTCGGCGGTGTTTTTGCAACCCGGTTCGTTTGATACGGAAATTTTGGAGGCTGCAAGGAAGGATTTCAAGGCGGTAATTGCGGGGGAAGGGGGGAGGGGGCATGAGGGGTGGTGTGTGCTGGTGGATGGGGAGGAGGGGTTGAGGACTGCGGGGAGGGAGTGGAGTCGGCTGTAGATGGGGCAAAGAAATGGCATTGTCTTACGGGGGCCGCGACGCTAATGTTCGAGGACGGTGAAAAGTGCGCTTTGTGTGTTTAGATGCTGTTGCTGGTAGGTGTGCTGACTGATTCCTAGAACCCGCGAACGAGGATTTTTGGGCCTACTGGACAAGAGGGGGCCAGCTTTGACAAGGCGAATTTGCAGCTTTCTTACGGAGACCAGAGAATGCAACGGCTTCGACGAACACGACTTCCCAGAGTATACGTTGGGACGGGAATGGAGCGGCCTTGCGGCGACGTCTTCCAACCTCATATTACGTCGATTTTCTGATCTCTACCACGGTACAATCGCGCCGTCAAATCTATAATACTTCCCACTGTCCTCTTGCTTCAACCCACCAATCACCTCCAACATGCCCGAAATGCTCACCTCAGGCTCCACCATTGCGCCCTTCCCGCCCATGCGCGTCTTCACCCATCCTGGGTCCATGCAAATCACAATGACATGTTGCCTCTTCAGATCCCGCGCCTGGTGCAGCGTCAACATGTTCAGCGCTGCTTTGCTGATGGAATAGGTACAGCACTTCGGCGTTGACAGCGCAACCGTCATGCTTCCCAGACCGCTGGACATGTTCATGACAACGGCTCCGGGGGCTAGATATTGCGCAAGTGACTCGACGATTTTGGCAGGTCCCAGCACGTTGACGTCCATGTGGTGGTGCAGGGACTCGGGGGATATGCTCAGTGAGGTGTCGGACGAAGTGGCGTTTATCCCTGCGACATTGAAGAGGTAGTCGAGATTTGAGCCGGTCTTGGACAGGATCTCAGCGATGCGGAAGGGTAGGGCGGAAAGGGAGTCCTGGGACGAAACCTCGCATTCGATGATGTGGACGTTTTTGGCCGAATCGGAGAGGGAGGACAGGTCGGAGTGATCTTGCGAGAGGGAGCGGACGGCGGCGATGATGACGTTGGCGGGGTTGGAGGAGAGCTGGCGGACGAACTCGAGGCCGATGCCGCGGTTGGCGCCTGTGAGGAAGTAGGTGGGCATTGTTGTGATGCTGAGGATGGCTTTAACGGCGTTGTGGTGAGTTGGCGGGTGCGGTATGTGCAATTCTCAGTCTCCTTCACTTCTTCTCAGATGGCACCACGAGTTGTTTTTCCAGCTCCATCTTGGAATGCGCGCTTCTGCCAATATATACGAGCCCAACGAAGTTCACCACGGTGCATTATTCCCGCTGCAGCTCCCCGCAGTAGAGACCGATCGATGTACCTATCCGGCAATCCGCGGCAGAACTCCACGAACCTGAAACCGGTGGATAAAACTGGGGTTCCCAGCTTGTATCATGTCGAACCAACACGTCAGAGTTCGTCACTGTGGTTCATGCGCGCCATTGGGATTTGCTGATGGTGTTTATGCCTTCAAAATGTCGCTGAGCGGCTTTGGAACCTGGGGGGTAGGTGTAGGATCGTGAACAGCTGCATGCAATGGGCAATTGGTCACGTGCACTACACATGAGGTGCAAGGTAGGTATTCCCTTCTAGTTTTCTCTTGAGCTCTCCTTTAGTGTCTGCGCAACTATTTACGTTGTGGAAGATGGCTGACGACGTTGCAGCTTTAATGGTGCTTCGATCTTCGCCCACGGCCTACACCGTCTTCAAGTTTTGGACCAAAATCAGCCCTTTCGACCGCAGGCGTTCTACCCGACTGTACTGATCGCTCTGGTTTCTTCAGGCTCACCTTTCATCACGCAGAACAGTTTCTAGGACGACATGGAAGCTTCCAGGGATCGCAAACCTCGCGTCGACATATCTGTCCCACCGCTCCCCGACGGCCTTGTAAACCTGTTCGTGAGAAAACCGCTCACTGAAGTACGTCCGCGCCAGACTAGCAGGAGCAATGGCGCTTCCAGCTCATCCTTCCCGCTCAACATCCCCGTAATGCTGCTCCACGCTTCGCCCAACAATTTGGCTCGCACATCTGAATACTTCCCCTCGTACCCAGATGCACATCTATCATGCCACTCCGGCCATCGAGCAAAGACGCGACGGGTGCTGCCAGCTCGCAAGTGGTTCAGAATTCCCGCGGCTGGGAATACACGCTTTCCTGTACCCGGCTCACGACCACCATAGGCCCCAGGCATCTTCATACGGCCAGCGAACTCGGCCGCTTCGTCACCATCGACTTCTACTAGACCAGAGTCCTCCGACGCCTGTCTGAAGGATGGTCGCATCACTTCATCATGCCAGAAGGTAAGAAACTGCTCATTGAGTAGGACGTCGCGTTTCAGATTCGGGAACACGACGAACATTTGGGGATGGTGTCCCGGTTCCGCGTCCCGTGTCGTCGGTTCGTAGCACTCCCCCAACAGGAGAGCGTTGTCCAGGATCTTTTCGGGGATGTTACGGCGGAGATGAAGAGATAGGCACTCTTCAATGTGCCGGCGAGACCAGGAGTCGAGGTGAGGGAGCACCCACGGGGTTTGCTCCCAGGTGAGTCGCTTGACGATGGCGAGGTTTGAGGAGAAGCAAAACGAGAGAGGTGTAGAGCAGGACGAGATGAGGGTATGAGTGTGGTTGGCGGAGATGCTGGGAAGCCGGCTTTCATGATTGGGGAGGCGGAGCGTGGGCAGCATGGCGGGTTGGGGTTTCGTGGGAGGTTGAGTTGCATGTTACGAAGCTGGCAGGACCATAAGAGGGGTTTATATACAAATTGGAAGGGCATGACGGTGAAAGGGTGGACACGGTCGTCCATTCGGTGTGCTGGGAGACATCGTCCGGCAATGGTAATGAATTGGTACATGAAACAGACCACGAGATATCCACAGAATGAAAGAAAAAAAAATGAATGGCCAAGACATCTCTTAGACATAATTATATGGGTAGTTCGATCAATGGAGCATTCACGCGCCTTAACAATTGATATAGCATGTGTTGGAAACAAATGACTTGCTCACGTGATGGCGCGCCACCGTGTCGCTTCTTACGTGAAAGTTCGCCACCCTCGCTTCCCGTCCCGAATGCTCGATACCCTATAACCACGTTTTCAACCTCTCTTCGACCACACCCCTTTCGAGAATTGCACTCGACACCTGCTAGACGTGTCGGCGCATTCTGGTTAATGGCGCCGACATGGCCCGATTGAAAGCTGGGACCGTTTCGGACCAGGTTGTTCGGAAGAGGAGGCGGACTGCGGCTACGACAAAGGATGGGGAGGATGGAATAGCAGCGACTCGAAATGAGAACGATGTACCTCCTTCCAAAAAACCGGCCCTCTCTCGTCAGGACTCCTCCGCCGTCATTGAACCTTTCGAACCGTGGCCGGAGCACTTCAAGAAATTGGCCCAGGCGCAGCGTGCCCTGAGTCTCGTCTATACATTCTGCTGCACGAGGAAGCATGTCGCTACAACCTTCGACAACATCAAGTTCGCCGTGGAAGCTCATATCCGCCGAGAGTTACATGTGTCCGATGTCGTCCAGATAGCTGTGCTGATGCCCCGATCCGTCAGATTCCACTACGTGGACGAGGCCATGCTGCAGGCGAATCTCATGACCACGGTGGAGGAGCTGGGAGCCCGAGACCCCGCAGATCACAAGTCAGTCCTGCTCTTCGAGTTCCTGGACGGCGATCTCAAGCGTGGAGCCCAACCCGCCAAGAATGGGCAGGGCAAACCCGCTCCACAGCGACTGCGGAATCAGAACCTCAAGATGCCGGTGTTTACCCAGAAGCAATTGACCAACTTGATTGAGAAGAGGAATGGGAAGTTTGTGGGCGCTGTGAATGGGTTTCTGCATCAGTGTGCGGCCGAGGGCGTGGACCCGGTGGGAAGGATTGAGGGTATGGCGAGGGAGGCGATGCCTGTGCCGCCTGAGGATGACGGCCTGAGCGCTGACAGGGCGATGCTACCGCTGTCGATACCGGATGAGCGAAAGTCGATACCGGAGATCATTGAGGAGATCAAGACGCTCGAATGGTATACTGGGCAGATTGTGCCCGACGGGCATCGCGTCTTCGACCCTCAGCCAGCAATATACGGCGAACTGAAGTTTCAGCTGTCGCAGAACTTGGTGAATGCGCTGTACAACACCAGGAACATTACCCAGCTGTACTCGCACCAGGCGGAGGCGATCAATCACTTGCACGATGGGCACAATGTCATTGTTTCGACGTCGACCAGCTCCGGCAAGTCTCTCATCTATCAGATTCCCGTCCTGCATCAGCTGGAGCGCGAAAGCAGCACACGAGCCATGTACATCTTCCCGACGAAAGCACTGGCACAGGATCAGAGGAGGAGTCTGAAAGAGATGCTCCGCTTTATGGACGGCCTGCAGGACATAGTCGTGGAGACCTTTGACGGCGACACCCCGATGGCAGAACGCAACCACATCCGTGACGAGGCTCGGATTATCTTCACAAACCCAGATATGCTGCACATTACGATTCTGCCCCAGGAGGAGGCGTGGCGCTCGTTCTTGCAGAATCTGCGGTTCGTCGTGGTGGACGAGCTGCATGTGTACAACGGACTGTTTGGGTCGCATGTTTCGTTGATTATGCGGCGGCTGAGGAGGATATGTGCGGCCGTGGGGAATACCGATATCAAGTTCATCTCTTGCTCGGCGACGGTGGCGAATCCCGAGGCGCACATGAAGACGATCTTCGGGATTGAGGACGTGAAGCTGATCGACTTTGACGGCTCGCCGTCAGGGAGAAAGGAGTTTCTGTGCTGGAATACACCTTTCAAGGATCCTGGAGATCCTACATCTGGGCGGGGCGACAGCGTCGCAGAGTGCGCGAAGCTGTTCTGCCAATTGATACTCCGCGGCGTCCGAGCCATCGCCTTTTGCCGCGTCCGGAAACAGTGCGAGGCTCTTCTCGCCGCCATCAAGGCGGAGCTGACGAATCTGGAGCGGCCGGAGGTGATTGCGCGAGTTATGGGGTATCGAGGGGGCTATACTTCGCAGGATCGCCGGAGGATTGAGCAGGAGATGTTCCAGGGGAAGCTCGTGGGGATTGTGGCGACGAGTGCATTGGAGTTGGGCGTCGATATCGGATCCTTGGATGCGGTCGTGACTTGTGGGTTTCCGTATACGATTGCGAATCTGAGGCAGCAGAGCGGAAGAGCAGGACGCAGAAATAAAGACTCGCTGTCTGTGCTGGTGGGGGACTGTTTCCCTACGGACCAGTACTACATGTCGAACCCGGACGAGATTTTCACGAAGCCGAACTGTGAGCTCCAGGTCGATCTCGAGAACATTCTCGTGCTTGAAGGCCACGTCCAATGCGCTGCTCACGAAATGCCCATTGATCCCGAAGCCGATATGGTCTACTTTGGCCCGCTACTCCCCAAGATCGCCAAGGAGCGGATGAGAAGAGACGACGCTGGATTCTACCACACCAACGAGCGGTTTCTGCCTTACCCATCCCGACATATCGCCATCCGCGACACTGAGGACAGCCACTTCGCCATCATCGACGTGACACACGGACGGAACATGGTGCTGGAAGAGCTCGAGGCATCCCGGGCCTTCTTCACCATCTACGAAGGGGGCATCTTCCTGCATCAGGGAAGGACGTATCTCGTGCGCGAGTTCAGCCAGGACCGCATGCTCGCCAAGGTGGAGCACGTCTCCGTCGACTGGACGACTCTGCAGCGGGATTACACGGACATCGATCCCGTCGAGACGGAGGCGATACGCCGCATCCCCGGCAGCAGGTGCAAAGCGTACTACGGTCCCATCCAGATCCAGCAGGTCGTATTTGGCTTCTTCAAGGTGGATAAGCGGCGCAGGATCATCGATGCCGTCGAGGTAGACAATCCGCCCATCATCCTACGGTCCAAGGGCATGTGGTTGGACGTGCCCACGTCTGCATTGGAGTTGCTGAAGAGCAGGAGACTCAACATAGCCGCCGCGATCCATGCGGCCGAACACGCCGTCCTCAGCCTGCTTCCCAACTTTGTCATCAGCATGCCGGGGGACGTGAGGACGGAATGCAAAGTCGCCCTCAAGGAGTTTGCGGCTAAGGAGACGGCGAGGAAGCGTCCCGCGAGGTTGACATTTTACGACGCCAAGGGTGGAGCCAGCGGCAGTGGGATTTCGACCAAAGCATTCGAGTTTGTGGATTCGCTCCTCGAGCAAGCGTGCGAGCGGTTGCAGGCGTGTCACTGTCTGCAGGGGTGTCTCGAGTGTTGCTGCGACGAGCGGTGCAAGGAGGCGAATCAGGTCATGAGTAAAGCTGGGGCACTGGTCGTGGTCATGTCGTTGCTCGGGAGGGAGGCCGAGATTGACGTGGATAGTTTGCCGTGGGGCGAGGACGAGGCGGCGCCTGCGGGCGTCGAGACGGTGGTGCCGGCGCAGGAGGTGATTATGGCAAGGGGTGTGGAGAAGGATGGTGTATGGATTAAAGAGGAGGATGCCGAGGAGAATGCATTTGCGAGGAGTATACGGGTGTTTGGAGGGGAGGGGAGGCTTATCGGGGTGCATAGCTAGGGGAGACTATGGGGAGGCTCACGAGTTATGAATAATGAATGTAGCAGAGTTGATTAGATCTGAACAACCGAGATGAATGAAAGTACAGGTAACGCGTAACACGACGCTGGGTATCTCGAATCTAACCAATCTTGACCTCTCCACCAGCAGATGAAATCCCCATTCAAACCACCAACGCCTCAATCGCCCTCTCCAGCCAATCCTCCCACACGCTCATCCTCGTACTCACGCCCCACCCTTTCAGGCCGTCACTCTCGCTCACTCTCCTCTCCAACGCCTTCTCATTCGGACTCCCCTGGCGCTCCCCTTGCCGCTCCCACCACGCCCGTTCCGCCGCCTCGCGCGCCCTCCTGACAACCTCCTCCTCGTCCTCCACCTGATACAAATCGCACTTGTCGCACTCCGTACATTTGCGACCCGGAACCTCGCGGAAGTGCTGGCAAAAATGATTGTATCCCTCGGTCGCCAGCCCTTGTCTGCAGAGATAACACATGCTGTATCCACACAGACAAACCAGTTTGTTGCACCCCTCGCTCTTGACGAAGGCCAGATTACAGTCCGGACAGGTCCGTTTGACCGCGTCCGTGGTGGCGCGCTCCAGCGTCAGACGTAGGGACTGCAATTGCGAGGAGTAGCACACGTGGGGATCGTGCCAGGGGGCGGAGCAGGAGAGACAGGATTGCCGTCCGCACGAAGGGGAGAGGCACTGGAAGCGCAGTCCGCGGCGGCGCAGGTGGATGCGGCGGAGGGCGGAGTCGAGGGGACCTGTGACATCGAAGGGTTTCCCGGAGACGTAGCCTAGCAGCGCAAGGGAAGTGAAGGCCAGGAGAGCGAATTGCAGTATCACGCGGAAGATTCCCCAGCAGAGGAGCTCGAGGAGCGGGACGGAGGCGAGAAGGAGGCGGCCGCGGCGGACTTTGAGCGTGGAGAAGAGATCGGCTCGGGGGAGGGCGAGCGTGTCGACTTCGGCGTACGAGCAGAAAGGACAGCGGGTGAGGGGGAGGCGGGACTGGAGCAGGGCTTCGGAGGCGAAGCGTTCGTTGAGTTTGCGGATATTGTCTGCGCCGTCCTTCTCCTCGAGGAGAGCACGCTCAATGAATTGCAGTGGGATGCAGCCAGAGCACTGGTCGCCACGGCCGTCTGTCATGGGAGCCACGCACCTTAGAGTGCAGAGCTCCGAGTTGATGTTGCGCGCCCAGCCCTGGTCGTAGAGAGCTGCATTGATCGAATGCCGTATGCAGCTGAAGCAGATGTGGTGGCCTTGAACGTCGCAGGTGGACATCTGCGCCAGCGTGTTTGGGATAAAGCAGCATTCACAGTCGTACATTTCTCCCGCTTCTTCTGCCTCCGCCTCGTCCAACTGCACGGCGAGCTCGAAGTCCTTGGCAATCTGCTCTTTTCGCTGCTTTTCTAGCTCCGGCAGGATCAGCGTGTCGTACAGCTCCTTGTCCAGCTCCCGGCTCTTTGTCCTGACAAGAAACGGCACCCCCGACCGCCCCAGCTTCGCGTCTGCAGACGTCCATAGCACCAGTGGATGGTCCGTTGCGGTGGGCATCTTCCTTCGCAGAAAGAAACTCGCGATCGAGGCTCGCCAGCTCTTGGACGCCAGCACCAGCAGCGTCTCCCTCGCGTGCGTGTAGCTCCAGTTCCACTCCGCCAGCACCGCCTTGATCGTCGAGTGGCTGAGACCCGAGAACTCGCGATACAGCGCCTCTTTGGCTGCACTTTTATAGCTCTGGCTCCGGAAGGTATCCTCCAACGCCAAAGGGATGCCTCGGGTGTCCTTGTGCGGGTCCAGGGAGCGGTATTTGTACTTTGGCGAGAGGTGATGCTCACCCTGCTCCGCAGGCGTCCTGTACCGGCCCCGTACATACTTTGCCCCGTGCTTCAGCAGCGTTTCTGTTATCACCTGTAGCCTGCTCTCCTCGCTGAACGTCGACAGCATCTCGCGGAACACCTCTGGTTGTATGTCTGGAAAGATGTCGACCAGGGCTTGCAGTCCAGCGTTAAGCTCTCGAAGATGCGGCTCGACGGGATCGGAGGCGTCATCAGGAGCACGTGAAGTGCTCTGGTGGCATTGGTTTGCCGTTGCTTGGAAGGGAGAAGGGCGAGACGGCGACCGTGAGGGCCAGACCATGGACGAGAAGACGGACGTCATGGATAGTGCAGAAATGGTGAGGGAGGGTTCAGGTCTGTAGAGGAGGATAAGGAGGAGGCATGGTTGCTCTCAAGGGCCGAAGGGTGGGTTGCGTGGGGATGGAAATATTCTGTACTTTAGGAGTGTTCATCATATCATATCATGCATGACGCGATGGACGACGCGGCCTCACCAGCCTCACTAGCGTTGTGTATTCTGGAGCACGGCACTGTACATTCTGTACCGATTATCGTCGAAGGTCTCGCAACGTCAACGACATACCTGCCTGTAGCCTGAACTGCATTTGTTGCTCATCATCTCAGTAATAGAGCCTTTAGATATTAGATGTCATACCTAGGGTCCGTCTTCGCTCGATAGTACGGGAGCAGTCTACGTGTGGAATCGGATAGCGAAAGGCCACACTATGGAATACCTCGTATGATGCATTTCGAGCTCGGTTCAGAAATCACCCGCACATCCGATGAAAGGTCAAGCAGGCGTGATTCATGGAGGGCGGAGAGGGGAAGACCTCGCTATCGTAGACAGGTAGTATATTTCGCTGCTCCTGACATAGATCTGGAAAGAGATGACTGTAGGACGGGAAGCCGCAATATTAAAGAAGCGATGCGAGGATACACCCACGCGTGAGAGAATGTCTGAAGTGCTTGCCCAGATCGGAGCCGCATGCATGATAGTATGCCCATTATATCTACGACAGACATATGGTCTAAGTACGTTATTGCACGCATGAAACAGTGATTTACATATGCGGTGGACCTCTTTCTACTCCTCTTGCACAAATGAACCTCGGGCAACCCATGTCTTATCTCGGCTGCGCTGGTAGCTTGAATGGAGTCCTCATCATTGAATTCCATTGCCATGTGGTGAGGCTAAACAAGTTGTTCGACATTGACGGTTCGTATTCTTTTTCGCCCAGGTCGCACGTTGTCCTGGGCCAGGCCTGCCCCCCTGAGTTCTCTCTCTGAGTTGAACGGACAATGTGGGTTGAAGTCGTGACTTGCGAGATAAAGGCGCAAACTTCTTCCGATCTCTCTCTAAAGCACAGCCCAGCTATACGTGTACTGTAGTAGAGAACCATAAGCCCGCAGAAATCTTCGAGTATTGTGCACAAGAAAGCGGTAACGTTGAAGTCTGCAGGAGGGACTGGTTGGTGTTTCTGTTACCCGTGGGGTGCCCACCCAGCCCCGTGGTTGTGAATTGCCGATCCTCCACAACCCCACATCCGGAACCCCTGGGAACGCATCTGCGGGACCTCCCAGCTTCAAGGGTAGACTTGACCCAACTCGACGTGGGGAGAATGTGGAACAAATTCCGCTCACAACGTCTGAATTCTAGAAGTTAGCTGTAGGCACCCGCAGTGGGCTGAGATATTTGCGGCACGGTGGTTCTCTTTCTCCTCTTTCACTTGTGATCCTCCCAGTTCAAGTGTCAAACACAAATCCGCGTTGAGAACATTCCAAACACCGAACAGGTTATCTCCGTAGATTCTACCATGGCCTCAAAAGCTCAAGGATCACTCCCATCTCCTCACGATCCTCCACTTACGGGTACCGCCCCAGCCCTCGCATTAGAACCTTCAAGCGGTCTGACTTGTCCCAGCAATTGTCATAGGCGCCGGTCTAGGGGGCTGCGCGGCCGCCGTCGCACTGCACCACCACGGCCATCGCGTCCTGTGTGTTCTTGACAAGGTCCGCGCCTTCACGCGGCTCGGAGACTCCTTGGGTCTGGGGGAGAATGCGTTCAAACTGCTTGCAAGGTGGGGATGCGAGACGGACGAGATCAAGAGAATCGGCAACCAGGCAGAGAATATGACAATTCGCCGCTGGAGCGACGGGAAGGAGCTGGCTGTGCAGCCGCTGATGGATATGGCCGGATACATCGGACACCGTGGAGACTACCATGACGTGTTTCTTGAGTGGGTGAGGAGACGGAACATCCCTATACGAATGGGCTGCGAGGTCGTGGCTTATGACGACGTCGATCCACAACCGGCCATAACTCTGAAATCTGGAGAGAAGCTGACTGCGGACATCATCGTTGCTGCGGACGGCATCAAGAGTCTGGCCAGACCGCTGGTTCTGGGCACGCGAGATGACCCTGTGAGTTCGGGGTATGCTTGTTTCCGGGCGTTCTTCCGGCCGACCAAGGCGCAGAGAGAGGACGAGCGGCTGAACAAGTACATGAAGGAGGACTGCGTCAACTTTTGGATTGGCCCTGACTTGCATATCGTGCAAAATACGCTGAGGGGCGGCGAAGAGTTCAACTGGATACTGACGCACAAGGACGACGGAGACGTGCCTGAAAGCTGGTTCCAACCCGGTGACATGGACGAGGTGAGGAGATTGGTGCAGACCCTCGATCCTGACATAAGAGGTATCATCCAGGCCACAGAGCAATGTCTCGATTGGAAGATATGCTACCGTAAACCCTTGAGCACCTGGGTGAGCCCCAAAAGTCATCGGATAGTTTTGTTGGGCGATAGCTGCCACGCCCATTTGCCCACTTCTGCACAAGGTGCCAGTCAAGCGGTCGAGAGCGCCGGCGTGCTTGCGGTATGTCTCAAGATGATCCAGGGAAAAGACGACGTCGGTATTGCAACCAGATGCTATGAGAAGCTGAGGTTTGCGAGGACGCGGGCAAGCCAGACCAACGGGGAAGATTTGCGCGAAAGGTGGCACAATTGTTTGAAGAAGGTCGACGAAAAGCGGGAGATTGATCCCGAGGATGTGAAGATCAAGGTATGGTCACTACCGAGTGCCCAGTTCCAAATGCTGACTTGTCTCCTCGACAGAACCGCTGGCTATATTCATTTGATGCCGAAGAAGATGCGACCAAGCGGTGGGAGAGCACGCGGGCTACTGTGGTTACAGAGCTCAGCAATGGAACAATAACTCCCTTGTGCTGATATGGCATGTAGCGGGATACCTCGTGTCGAAATCTTGTAAAGTATCCTAGCATCAGGAAATCCTCGAGACCTACAAATCCCCACGGAAATCGCTTGCAGCATATATGGAGCTCTCAACTGCGTGAACCCCTCGTTGTGACAGCTGGAATGCAATTATGAAGGAAGTGAGCTCCTGGAGATGCGGCTCCGTGGGATCGGAGGAGTCATTGGGCGACCATGCCTAAAGAATTGGATGGTTCCGTTCCCTCAGGCAGAAGTTTCTAGTCGGGGTCCCGGCTCCCTCATCGTGTCGCCATGTCGGGGAAACCAGTTGAGATCGTGTACACACGCTTGACTGACACTCCAGGATTGCACACCTTCAACGGTTGAGTTCATTATTTGTCTTGGGCTGCTGAGGTCTTGTCGTCACCCGTGGGGAAGTTCTTGGGAAAGAAGTTGGACAGCTAGATTGCGGTGGTGGAGTTTTTCGCCCTTAGTAATCGACAGATTAACCAAAAGTCAAGCGCTTCGAAGCAGATAATGGAGGATCATACACGAATAACGGGTCCAAGACTTCTTCGATTAGAGGGCGCACTACGGGCCTTGCGTGATGCAATCCTAGCTGCCTTCTTAGCATCTTCCTGGCGGACCTTTTCTCCCTTTGCTGCTGCGGAAGGAGCACAACGAAGTACATTGGATGTGAGATTGAAGTTGCTGTCATTCAACCTCGTCGGGCGGGCTCTCATCCATTGGTCGAGTGGGAACGAGGAGACGGGCTAAGTTTAGGAAATCAAAAATCGAGTATGAGTATGTAGAAGCAAGACCTTCGGTGACATGGGGTCTGCGATTGCACATGCTACAGCCGCGCCAAGCGAATGACCGCAAAGTATACTATTTTGATCTGGCGAAGTAGCAGAGCCATACCGATCCCATCTTGTTCTGGACCCATTGAGACCCAGAGCAACGGGCCTAGATGTTGGCACACTTGAAGGTATTTGCCGAAGACTCCAGCAGCGTCGGCAAAGGCAAGTCCGCCGTCCGCCCCGCCAGAGGTGCATTCATACGAGACTCTGTTTGGATGGAAACCCCTGAGGAAGATGGGAAAGTGAGGATGCCGGACCGTAGTGCATCCGGAGTATCGGAGGCCTAGTCTGCGAGGTTGAGTTGGAAGTGAGAGTTGTGCTCGCTGACATGTCCTTCGAGATAGGAAATCATCCCGAAGATGCATTGTCAGAGACACTGGTCGAAGTTGGTCTGTTACGTGCCATTTTTCTAAGGCTTTCCCTGCTAGATGAGAGACCCAGACAGTGGCGTAGTGATTCACCCGGAATTGGGGTGGCAAACATTCCAGATGCTTCAGCATCAAATCGTTATAATGCTCTGTTCGCCTTCAGGTTGCTCCCCAGGCGGTAAAAAAGCATGCTACCCTCTTCTTAGATACACTTTGCGAGGACACTTTTCCGCCAACAAACTTGGTCTCTGGTAGGCTAAGGTAAGTCTCCCGCTCTCCTTCTCTTCCCCATCAGCACCTTCGAGGGAGGACGAGTTGCGGGGACGCACGGGATCCGCTTCCCCAGCTCCGAACAAGACGGACGATGCGGATACCGCGAACGGGCACGCGAATGCAGAGCGAATATACGATAAAGAAGAGCGCCATTTTTACCGCAAGGACACCTGCCGACCTTCGCTGTCATCATCATCCTGCCGCCAATTACAGGAAATGTTGGGCCGGTGTCAAGAAATTCCAGTTGATAGAAGTCGCGGTGTCATCGTGTTGTCCTCTCTCCATCTTCCTACGCATCTTTCACAATCTTCTGCGCCATTTGCGTCAACCTAGTTCCCAGCATTTGCACTCTGACTCCTCGACGGGGGACGGTTCCCATTCACCAGAATCATAGTCTTCAAAGTCGACGATGTAGCTGCCTTGAAGTTAGCTTGTCTAAATTACAGGCTTGCGTGTGGACATACCATTTGTTGCCCTCCTTGTCCCAGATTAGATTTCAGCGAGCGCGGTCGAAAGGGTAAATCCCAAGTTTCCAGACCTCCCTGTTCGATACTCAGCACAAAACCTACAAGATAGGCTAAAAAGGACGTACGTCAAAGCCTCCTTGAACGCCTTCCGGATCAAGTCCCTCTCGCAGGGCGGGAGCTCCCAATACCCATAGACAATAGGCTGACCTGGTAGTTTCGTCATGAGTATGTAAACAAGGAAGCCACCTGGCATTGCCTTCTTGTCAATCTGTGTATCGACAGTGTACACGGCATGTTCTAGGAGATGTAGAGTGTAAGCACAGCCCTCTTTAGCCATAAGTTCGAGTGCTTTCAACTCGCGTTGTGTAGCAGGGCTAGGCGTAGGGTTCGGCTTGGTAGCGTTCTTGAGGCGTTCTTGTGCAATCCGTAGGTTGTGGGCCCGGACTCGGTTCTCTGGGGATGCTCCTGCCTTACACGCCCGTTCTTTGACGGCATCTTCATACTCTTGGACACGTTTCTTCGTTCCGTGAATCCTACGCTCTACGTGAGCGAAAACACTGGTGGCGTACTTTAGAAGTTGTACTTACTGGTACTTCACCTTGACAACGGCCTCTAGGATACCCTTGTACTTGCCGGCTGGGTCTGCTTGAAGACGGCACGTGAAGACTTGCCGGGCTTCAGACGGCGGAACCACCTGCTGATATTTCAGGGAAGACAGAGGCTGGTCGACCTTCCACGTAGAGCCATCTTCGAGACGAAAGCATTTGCACCAGACTCCTTTGCGCTGTGTCGTTGGTGTTCCGTCCTCGGAGATGGATGTGTTGGTTGCTGTTTCAGACGAAGTCCACCCAGACCGCTTGGGGCTCTTGGGGATCTTGGGGCTCTCGGGGCTCTCGGGGCTCTCGGGGCTCTCGCGGCTCTCGCGGCTCTCGGGGCTCTCGCGGCTCTCACGGCTCTCAACGAGGAGAGGAGGAACCGGGGAACAAATGGGTTCCACCTCCGTCTTCATCGGACGATCGTCTACAACACTGCTGGTACCGTGTCTGGATAGGGTTGAGCTCGAAGTCCCCATCGTTGAACGTCGCGCAGTCGTTTGAAGGGTTTGGTTGTTGGCAATGTGCAATATTTAGAGAAGGAGGTTGCGGAGAGGCGAGAGACGATGTGTGACCATTTATCTGATGGACTGTGCGGTGAAAGTCTTTCGCCAAGCTGAAGGGGTTAGAGGGTACACAATGCCTCTCTTGACAACCACTACGACCCCGAATTGTTGCGCGACCAAATATGGAACGGTCCAAACAACGTTGAACCAAAGCCAGAATGCCCTGCGGAACAAATCATGACGAGCCGCGGAACAAATCATGACGAGCAAACTGGATCCCCAATGGGCGCTCCCGGCAGTCGAACAGCTCAACGCCTTGGGCTTCCCCCGACTTGGGCCAAACTCAAGGCGCTGGCCCCTCGAGGACTGCATCGGTGCCTTCATCTCTTGTCGCATGAATCCGACCTCGGTGCAACCCCAGCTCTCGATTCCGGGAATGATTTCGCCGTCATGAACCGTGGGGCATGCGAGTACTCGATGGTCCAGCATGCTTGATGGCGGTAAGGATGCCTCCTTGGACGTTGCCAGCCTTCTGACACCCTCTCAGATCAGGCCGCATAACCACGGCGTATTTGCGGCCCACATTGCAATGCCTCCCTCGTACCGAACGAGCCCTCCGCCGGGGTTTGGGGACAGCGAATGCGATGGTCCAGCAAAGGTCGCCAAGACGTTGGAGGGATAATTGCTGGATACGGGGGGCTCGTAAGGCAAAGGCGAGAGATTTTCGAGGAGGGTCACTGTCCAAGGGACCTGGCGACATGTACATACATAGCTATATATTCCATGGTCGCCAGAGTGTCCCGAGCACTTGGATAGCTTCGGCATCGCGGCTCGCTCCGCACCCGACGCACGAGACCATCCCAACCTCGTTTTGGTCTAGTCTCCTGCGTGCTTCCAAGGTTCCATGTCCGAACGGAACGGCGGTACTGTAGTACTATGTACGGCATGGGTGGCGCGACGAAAGTTGACTGCAACGTCGTCTGAGGGACCGATCGGATTTGCGGCGAAGACTGACGTACAGAGTACGAGTATCAATAATCTCTCTTCCCGTTTTCGGCTAACTTGATTCTACCTTTATCAAGTGATTGACTGGTAACTAGTACTCTGCACCCAGTTCCTGAACCCTTCTCACATGCCTCTCAAAACCCCCAATTCCCTGCCTGCCTTTTTGCAGCAATTTTTGTAGCACGACTTGGTTGCATCCCCATCTTTCCAGCAATGATATGTTGAGAAAGTGGTGTCATAATTATCCAAACCGCATTTCTTCCCACAAGTGTAAGTTGGGCTGACGGCTCCAATCCTGCCATTGGTCCTCTCACAAAAATAACAATTGGCTGCGAGGGCGTCGAGTGGGAGGAGTGCAAGTGCGATAGCGGTACAGAAGCTCGACAACTTCATCTTGATTAGGACTTTTTCCTTTGCGTTGGATGACAGTTAGAACTGAGACGACACTCTGATAATATATGATGTATGGTTCTCGCAGGGAGGTTTCCGTCACCTACCTTCACAAGCCCAAGAGTTTAGCTGGGGAGAAGAAGTAAAAACCGCGAGAAGGAGAACCGAATCCGCTGAAGTTTTCGACGTTATCGGGCTGGAATGACTGGAATGACTGGAAACGGAGACACAGAGAGGATGAAGGAAGGCTGCAACAAAAGGACACGATTTTTCCTGGGTTCTCAGCCGCCTTTTATACATCTGCTCGTCGTTCCCGAGCCGTATGATGCGGCTCCGGACTCGCTCTCCTGATCAACAGTCCCCACTCAGTAATCGCAGGGATGAGATTTTAGCGCTCCGTGCGGAGTAGACAATAATGAGCAGCGCAAATTGCTGTAAGGGACCTCGTTCCACTAGGGACACTGGAGGCGGCAGTGCCTTTATTACTTCGTATTGAGATCCCTTCTATGCCGGTGAAGATTTGCAAAGCCTGTACAGTGGTACTGCGTAGAAGACTGTCACTCCCAAACACACAGCGGGGTCCACCAACGAAGCAAGAGTTCGAAAGAGGCTGGACAAGTGTCGCAACGTGCTCAATTCGGTTCAAGCACTTGGTCCCTTGTGGGAAGGGGTCTCGACTACAGGGGAAAGGGCATCCGAAACGGCGGGAAAATGGTCGGTCGCCGAGATGTCGCAGTTAGTGCCTTACTTTGTAGGGCGAACCAGCCGGAGAGTGGAAGGGTAAACGAGAGGACGTGTGAATATCCACGCAGAAAGGGAGATCAACACCGCCAGTCGAGGCGAGGCGTGATTCGCATTGGATCCGACTTGGACCCCTGAGCAGTGTGGGAGCAATATGCAGGAGCAGTTAAGTCGCCCAGGCTTGGCAAAGTCGAAGACTGGTTCATGACGCCGAAAACGCCTTCCTGCCAGTCCCACACCCGAAGGAGGCATAGCCCACGGAAGAAGCATCAATTTCTTGGATCCGCCGAGCCAAATCTTCAGTCAGCCACTGTAGCAGCCGAGTGACCGGTTGACTCGCAGAAACTATCAATAATCATGCAGAAAGAGAAAGGAGAGAGAATCCGCTTCCTGGGATCGAGCGTCGCGAGAAGCGCTCCTTTTGTCTTGGACTGTGTAGGGTATGCTGGAGCTCGGGAGAGCGGCATCCAGCGCCCAGTGTGGTGCCGCGGGCCGAAGTGATCAGCTTCGATATGAACACCCACAACAAAACAGCACAACGTGCATACGATGAATGCGAGACGTCCGCTGACTATGTACTGTGTCACAAACTGGACGAAGATGGACGTGACAGCTGCAGCTTCGTTTCGCGGGTGTGACCACCTGAAACAGGGTCTGTGTGCGACCTGCACGTTTGACTGACAACTTCAACCAGCTGGACCCCGAATAACGACAGAGTCTACGGAGGTGTTGCCAATAAGTTTATTCCGGTGTTCAGGGGTGGCTGCCCTGGGCAACACATATTCCTTGGCATGCCACGTAGCACAACTTACTTATATATATACTTAGTTTCCTGTGCAGATTCTTGTACAAACCTAAGTATCTTGTGAATCTGAATATTCCTTGTTCATCTAAAGATATTATGCCTCACCCTCCATGCCCAAACTATGAAATTGCCACCCAAGCCCAAGTTGTAGCTCTACGGTTATATGGAGCTCCCTCTTCAAAGGTTGAGGAGCTGACAGGAGTAGGAGAAAGGACTCAAAGAGCTATGGTTAAGAAGGCAAAAAATAGAGGCTTTGATGGCTCACTTCTTCTAAATATTCATATAGAAGATGGAGCTCATACGGATGCTACATGCAAAAGGACTCCCTTCTTTGCAAAGGAGCTAGTTGAGAAGGTGCGCAAGGACCGTTACAGCCGTGAAAAGACCCTTGAAATATTGGCCCATGAGCTTACTTTAGAGGGGAAAGCCGTAAGGAGAGAGAGCATGAGGAAGACTCTTCATGAGATGGGTTTCAGGAAGGTGAAAAGAACGAAGAAGCCAGGCCTTACTCACCGTATGAGGAAAGAGAGATTAGGGTTCTGTTTGAAGCACCAATACTGGACCCTTGAAGACTGGAAGAATGTAATTTGGAGTGATGAAACAAGCGTTGTTTTAGGTGTCAGAAGAGGCCAGATATATGTATGGAGGCAGCCAGCAGAGAAATACAATCCTACTGTTCTCCAGGCTAGATAGAAAAGCTACTCTAAGTTTATGTTCTGGGGCTGCTTCTCTTACTACAGGAAGGGACCTTGCCACATCTACAAAACAGAAACAGCTAAGCAGAAGAAAGAGGTGCAGGCAAGGATTGATGAAATGAATGAGGAAAATAAGCCTGTAAAGAAGGCTGAATGGGAGCTTAATACAATGATGAGAAGAGCTAGGTTAAAGAAGAAGGCAGGGCCAAAACCCTAGTGGAGATGGACTAAGGAAACTGGGAAGCTTGTGAGAGATGGAGGAGGAGGCATTGACTGGTGGAGATACTACAATGAGATTCTCCAGCCAAAGCTTCTTCCCTTTGCCAAAGAGTGCTTGAAAACAAGGCCAGGCATGATTGTCCAGGAAGATAAGGCTCCTTCACATGCCCACTGGTTCCAGGGTACTATCTATCTGAAGGAAGAGGTTAACAAGATCCTCTGGTATGGCAATTCACCGGACTTGAACGCTATTGAACCAGCCTGGCCATGGCTTAAAAGGAGGATTACAGCAAAAGGAGCAGCAGCAGATGCTAAGAAGATGAAGCAGGACTGGCTGAATTGGTGGGAGGAACTACCTCAGTAGAGGATCCAGAGGTGGATTGAAAGGACTCTGCACCATATTTGGAAGATTATAGAGCTTGAGGGAGGAAATAAGTATCAGAAAGGAAGATTTGAAAAGGTTACCCACCATACAGGCTCTACCCCAGAGGAGCTCTCCTGCCAGGAAACAATACCTGAGATGAATCTACACCTCAAACTATGCAGGAAGGCTACTCCTCAAGCTCCTCATCAAGCTCCTCATTAAGCTTCTTATCCTCTCCAGAAAACAGGCCTATATTTGGAGACTTCAGGGATGAGATGACCTGGGCTGAGCTCTGTGATTTAGATGAGGCAGAGGTCCATAACAGTGAGCTAGATGAGGTAGAAGAAGCTGAGATTTCAAGTGGATGGGACTCTGAACTAGATGCGGAAGGAGAGATAGATGAGGAGTTCTGAACTTAGCTCATTTACTATATATTTTATGCAATTTTGTGAGCATTTACTCTGAGCTTGTGCTGCCAAGAAACTACCCCTGCAAGCCTCTCAGCTCTAGCGTGGCTCCTCCGGGCGGAATAAACTTATTGGCAACACCTCCGTATCGTGAATAATGCCGGGTTCTTCACGCTTGATTGACTCCCGGATCGTATCGCCGGGGCAGCGTTAGGAAGACGACGGTTTTTCCATGCGGCATTATTGGCAGTGCGTGATGGTACGTCAGCCTCACTCAGGTCATCAACAAGTCACAGGTGTTGGACGTCAGCCGGTCGGCCTCGGGAAATGCCGCCCCGCGCCGGGTCGATGCCACTCCGACTTTGGAGCATAAAATATCAAATCAAGAGACAGTGGCTAATTGTGTTGGTGGGGCATACGAACACAGAGCAAATTAAGGCTTCTGATTCTGGTCTACGATGTTCTTGCCCCTTGCAGCCTGCAGCAATAGACCCGCTAGGCGTCATCCAATCTTGGGACAGCGAGCCAAGGGCTCGCTGTTGCATTGGCAGGAAGCCGAGCCCCAGTCCAGCCGCCGTTTCGAGATTTCAGATCATATACGGGCACTTAATCAAGGCGAGGAAAAATCAAGCCACAAGTACACTAGCTGTAAATCATCACTGGAATTGTGTAAAGTCAATGTGAATTCTTGGAATTCTCAGAGATTTGTGTTGTAAGACAAATACCACTAACGTGATTAGTCATGCTGCTTCCAGCGCCAGATATGATCCACTCACCTCGTACAGCAGTGGACTGCATCCGACGGGAACACAGGGTATTTGACTCAGAACCCTTTCCACGAGCGGTATACGCGACAAAACCGTTACTTCTTTTAGTATCAAAGTCGCCTAATTGGAGCATGTGATTTGTTGACCAACGCCTCTTGACGCTAAGTAAGGGCACTTTACCTAGTACAGGGGTTCCGTCGGACGTGAAAGACTGCTGTATATCCTTCATCCGTAGGATTGCGAGAATAGAAACCCTTGATATCTCGTACACAGCGTAATTCGGAAGCGATGACGGGCGGTGGTACGATGATGGACCGGACCCGACAGCAGACAGTTCTTAATAAATTCCAGCTCTTCCCCTAAGGTCTGGCACAATCCACAAGCCGTCCATTCGCATCAGGCGTCCTCTCGTTTTACATCTACCCGCCAGGCTCTGCGCGTCCGGAGACTCTCCCATCCACCGCAAGCCGTCCACTCATTTGGAAGCCGCCTCAGAAACTCCAAAGATGCAGCTCCTCCTCGCCATCGTCCTCGCCCTCGTGGCCTGCGCCGACCTCGCCTCCGCCTGGCGCATGCGCCTGTATCAGGGCCAGCGGTACACCGGCGCCACCTCCACCAAAGCCGGAAAAGGCCTCCCTGGCTCGGCCTGCCACTCGATCAACGGCTTCCAGGGTGCGAACCTCGGGGGCAAGTTCAAGTCCTTCAAATACTGGCCGCACGACCCCAAGTACAACACCGACTGCGGGGTCTATTTCTACCGCTCGAGCAACTGCAAGACCGGAAGGGGCAGCGGCTACACCGGCTTCTTCCTCTGGGAATCGACTGGGACTGGCTATGAGCCGTACTATTCGATGAAGACGACGTGCAAGTACGCCAGGCGCAAGAGGTCCGAGATCGAGGGCCAGGGGAACGCCACGGCGGCCGCGCTGGAGACCATTGATGAGGAGTACCTCGCCGACCCGGTGTACTCCGAGGACCTGGAGGGCCCGGACGACTGGGAAACTTCTGACACCGACGAGGGAGATGAGGAATGAGATGCTGGAGCGACCCATGCGACTCAGCTGCCCAGCATCGTTGGTCCAGCTCGGCAGAAGGGATTCATATACACCGAAAGTATTTGGAGCGCCCCGAACTTGGAACTGCAAGCCTATATATTTACTTCTTAGACGATATCTTCCTATTACCATTTACCATTTCTAATTCACTATTTCTACATCCACGGCAATTGCCGTCGCCTTCCTTCTGTCTTCGTAACCCCCTTGAAATGGCCCACGACCTTTTACCTCCCACCCCAAACCTCGGCCGTTGTCATTCGGTGTACACTGTAAAATGAGGATCCATATTCGAGCGGCTTATGGAGCAAAATGTGATTCCACGACAGGGATGCATGCCGAGGTGGGCAGGGAAGGAATCCCAGATCTCTAGGTGGTACCCATGGCGTTTTCGGCCAGGGCGTTCGCCTATGCCAGATTACTTAGTTCCCCAAGCCACTGCCTTGAGGCCCACGCCCTGGTGGAAGACGCCACTCGCCAGCTTGAACAACCTGGGCTTATTCTTAAGAAGCAGGGGAAGTATGAAGAGACCGAGGCGATGCGCAAAAATTGATGGGTATTGTGAACTTGAATGTTGCCTTCCTAGTCAAGTTTTTGATCACAGATCTGGTCAAGTTATTGTCCTTGATTCGGACCGTCCTTACTTCGCCATGTATAGACGCCAGTCTGAAAGCTAGCCTCCAAAAAACACCAACATCACAACAAATTTTCTGCTTGGAATTTCATCTCCAAACTTGCAGCACTTATTCATTCCATCAAGAAGTCTCTTTTTCTCAACTTGCAGCCTGCTACAGCATCTGCAGCAGGAGATACAGCCTCCAGAAGGGGGTAGCCATCCCCTTTCACCCCTCAAAAGAATTTTCGCTTTTTTCTTGGCAAAGAGCACAGGCCAGAACACCAAACATCAGTCAGCATCCATCAGCCACACCAGCCACACCAGCTACACCAACCAGACCAGAGATCCAACCACCACATATCTGCAATACACAGAATGCCTGCTATTCCAGAAAATAAAAAGACAAGTGCTCAGCCAAGTGCTGTCAAGACTTCAGATACATATGCACCTCTTGCAAGAGATATACAGAAAGAGATATTCTTGGCCAATTCAGGTAATGAGGAAGAA